CAGGTTATTCAGTGAACCATCATGGGGGGTGTTATATTACCAATATGCCATTTCTACTTTTATTTTTACCTTTAAAACTTTGTAAATATTGTACAAGTACTGAAACTTCACCTGAGCTGCTTTCCCATCATTCGTCCCTCCGACAGGCCGGACCCTACTGGACGTCACTCCTGGACAATTACGGAACAAACTTTGCGATGCTGCTCTTCGCGTTCCTCATCACCGGTGGCCTGAGCTGGGGCTACGGCATTCGACGCTTCATTAACGACATCCGCACCATGATTGGGGACCGGTACGTGGACACGCTGTACTTCAAGTGGTGGCCGCTGAACTGGGTGGTCCTGACTCCGCTGTCCATGGGGGTAAGTTTTCCCTCCAACAAAAATCCATGGGTGTCTGAAGAGGGGTTCTATCCTCCTTGAGCAACTGCTATAGCAATGTCATGAAAGCATTTGCTTTTGATAAAGTTTGCCCAAATAAATTGTGCTTCTGGTATGTGTATGATTGGCAAAACAAAATATACGTGTCTTACAAACCAAACAGGCACCGACATACTTTTTAAATAGCAAAACGGAAGTTGAGAAAAAGTTAATGGAAATACACAAATGCTTCATGGGTTGTAGTAAAAAGTTGAAGTACAAAGACTCCATGACATTGTTTCTTCCTATTGTGGGTAGGTTATTTTGGTGTTCAACTGGGCGACCTGGACCGAGCCCGAGTACAACGGACCGTACCCGCCCTGGGCCAGAGCTCTCGGCTGGATGATGATGATCACCACGCTCATTGGTATCCCCGGACATGTGGTCTTTGAGCTTCTCAGAAGGAAGGGCAGCTTCATGGAGGTAAAGAACATGCATTAGCAGACAGAGTTTTCCTTAGGCCCTGCAGCCATTAGTGCTTAGGGCACTAGAACTATGAGAATATCACAGTGTCGGTATTGCACTCGATCCGTACATTTTATGTTAATGCAAACCTGTGTGATTGAGTACAATTACTGTGCTCGTGACCAAGCTAGTTTCGTGTTTTCTTCGAGTCGAACATTCAAAGAGAAACCCTGACTTTCGTTCAGGTGTGCGCATGGTGGGTGGTGTTTGCGTGGAGGTTTTCACGGAATACTGTGGTTGTAGGCTTATAATTTTCAGTAGACCCTTGGCACAGTGCCCATTGTACTGTAGACTCGAATCTAGTCGGACTTTCGTTGCTCTTCTCAGTCAGCCATCCCTTCAGCGCAGCCTAGCTGTACAGTACACAGTCGTCGCGCTCGGAAACTCGCATAGCCTAACCCTTTTCCGGTTCGTAAGTGACTTCGTCACAAAGGCAAACGAAAAGAGAATTCTCTTGTCTGTCTGTTTGATTTATCAAATCCACCATTTACCTCATTAAAACATGCGTAAGCTAATCATCCCAAACAATTTTCCCTCATTTTTCCCTTGATGGGTCTATTCAACTTCAATCTTGAAGTCTTGTACAGTAACAAAAGTGTGCCCCCTTGACCCCCTGAAAAATTTAAAACAGAAAAAAAAGACCAAAAAAGGAAAAATAGCAAAAAGAATACAGAAAAGAGGACGAAAATTCATCAATTTGCACGAACAGTTTCCCGTTAATGAGTGCCCTGGTCCCTCCCCCAATCTTGGAAACAGCTTTGCCCTGTACTCTTGTACTGGCAACACATTTATAACAAACAGCAGGGATTCATGATTTTCATTCTGCCCGTCCCTGAGCAGCGCTTCCGTATCATCACCTCTCCCACGGACTCCTGGGGGCCGGCCCTGATCCAGCATCGACAGGAGGCGGTGGAAGTTCACCGCCGGCATGGCACCACCATGGGGGGAGTGGTGTGCTCGGCCGAAGTCGATGTCAACCCTAGGATCTCCAAGTATGCTGTCGTCAGCGAGGATGAGATGGAAGCGACAGTTTGAGCAACCACAAACAAGTCCGTTCATGATTTATCAGGGTTAAATGGGATATTGAGAAATTGAAACAGAGTGAAGGAACACCGAATAACTTGCGTTTCTGAAAATATGGTGGCTGGCTCTCTCAAGAAAGAGTTTCAAAACATTCCAACACCTACTTCACAGATATACTCCAACATATTGTAATCAAATAGTAGACGAGGCTTAGCTGCACTTTATATAAAGATGGATGATAATGAATCAGAAAGTACCGTGAAAAC